CAGCAAACTTGCCAATTCGTGGCAAACAGGTCGTGCTTGATAGCCTGTAAAATGAATGTCCGTTAATTACAGTATAAATTCGATATTTCGTCACGCTGTAACTGAGCAAATGACACGTGCCCATCAAACTTCTGAGAAAAAAAGCGCACCATCAATCCGATTCGATTCAATTTCATTTCGACTTTTATAAAAACTCGATCCGCTCTAGTTACGTGAATGTTGTAGGGAAAGCTCACGCCCCCCTAAAATATGACCGACTCTTTAATACACATGTAAGCCGAACACAGAGACGCTAACAATGAACACAGTGTCCCAGAGAGTAATAATAATTAATCAAGCCACGAGTCGAATTAATGCAATGAAAAGGGACGTTTCATGTCGAAAAGTCAATAGAATTCTCCATCAAGCATTTACACACAAATATGCCCGGTATGTCTATGGTAAATAAGCAGCGTCATTAAGCCCAGAGTGCTCATATTCGTCTGTCGTCATTTGTCACGCCAAACGAGCATCCGGGAGGCGGCAGCAGTGTCGCGCCGGCGACGACCCGAATCATGGCGGCGGAAAAACAAGCGAACCGCCGCCGAAGGGAGCCCGCTCTACAGAAGCCCGCATGTAAAAATAGCAATCAAACCTGCAAAAAGTCTAATTATACCCGGTCTTCTGATGAATAAATCAATCAGTCAATCGAAGACATGACTAATGACCCTACATCAATTAAACTTTTCAATTTGCTGGGGGTAATTTTTAAAATAAAAAAAGTGACGATCGATCGGGCTGGTGCGAAGCGCGGGGTGGGGGAGGAGAACGGGACGCAGAGATGATTGGTAATTCCGTTGATTAAATTTCACGAGAATTCGCGCCGTTGGGAAAGTGATGGTGTAAGGTCGCGAAGCGGAAATGGGCTGCAGTGGGGGAATCCCCGATGTCTGTGGTGATGATCCCCATGATAGACAAGAACTCGCAGCTTAACGACCATCCTTCTGCGGAGTGTTGACAATAATGATGATGAATTCGCCGGAAAGGTCTTGTAGGTGTGGTTGTGTTTGCAAGAGAGAATATGATCGAGTTTGAGTCTTCCCCACGAGAAGGTTAATCGTCTTTTGCACTTGGTTGTTTTCATTACCCATTGAGTGAGAGTACATCACATTACATTGAGAAACCCATCATAATATTGCAATGACGTTATTATCTTTATCGTCATTATTTGCTTTATTTAGATTTCCATGAAAATATATAACAAGATCATTATTTTTTAATTTCATTAATGAATAAATACAAGAAATGGTTTAGGACAGAGAGACAAAAATATATTAACGTTTTACTGTTTTCATGAACAACTTGAGTCTTATTGAGAACTTCACCATAATGTTAAAATGTCATGTTAAATTTAATAACTTGATTTATTTATGCTTTCATGAAAATGTATAACATATTTGTTTCTTAATTTCTTTAATGAATAATACACGAAATTGTTAAACTGAAAAAAATGTTAAAGTTTTACTAGTATTATGAACAATTTCTGTCAATAACAATAACCATGTACATAATTCTGAGACAATATATGTGCTGTACATTTTAACAATATAAAATAAAAAACTACGAAAATCGTATTTAATGTCAAAAAATTTATTTAAAAGTGGCATTGTTCCTTCAGATACATACCTGTATTTCCTGGAACTTTCGAAAAACCGTAAATATTACTTTTCTTTGACAAATTTGAACAAAGCATATATAATGTGATTTTATTACAACTAATCACTCAATGAGTTGCTGCAGGATTTACCTCGCAAATTTCCACTTTTGACTTTTTAATGATCCTATTTTGAACACACACTTTCATACAGAAAATATTTCCTATTTACAAAAATAATACGCAGCGCAAAACACTTCTTCCATCAATCTGCAGTTCCATGCTGGAAACGTATCGAATAAAATATGTAATACACTCAGTTTCAGCAGATCTCAATAATATTAACACTGTTTTACTCTACGATAGACCTCGCTTATATGATGTGAATACCACGTTGTGGAACACGTTTTAATCTTGAGTTCGGTGATATTCATTTCGACATGAAGACAGATTTTACGACAAAACGGCTCTCTATTCCCTCACACTCTCAGTATTTTGCATTTTCTTCCTTACTCCCAATCTCTTATGTATATTTGCTACCTTTCTAACTTTCGCAACTGTAATAGCCCTTAACCTGCGGTTGAACGGCAGACGTAGTAATCCACGACACGAAACCCGCAGCGAGAAATCAGAGCTGCAGCTTCAGGACCACATCCCCAGCGCTCCAAGGGAGCACCAAATGAATTAATGACGAGTGACGATCGACGCGCTAATGCGTGGGCGGCTCGGCGGCGACGACGGCGTCTCCGGAGGGATCGGGGTTCGAGGCTCTGCGGGACAATCAGGCCCAGCCCGGGAGGGGGCGCTTGTGGCTCGTTCTTGCGCGCGGCAATTGTCGGATACCCCACTGATCCGGGTCTCAGGAGCCGATCGCTCTGCTCGATGGAAAGCTCCCAACGCCCCATTCGCTTCCGCCGCCGCCGCCCCTGCCACCCTCGCTAGCGTTGGTTAGAGAGAGAGGCTAATCGGCGGCAAAACTATTCCGTTTCCGACGGCTGAACGCTGATTTAACACGTATTGCTATTACGAAGAGGCAAAACAATATTGAATGCGTACTGGATAGCCATTTTGAAAAATCGTAATTGACCATTTCATAAGGCCATAAATTGCAAGATAAAAAGTGAAGGGTTTTGTAGTATCTTAATTTCTTCGCAAAACTCTTTAAATAATATAACTATTCAGTAATACGAGTATATATGCACAGACATTTTACTGTTTCTTCGTTCATTTATGGATATTCTGTATTTATACTTTTGACTTGATGGCTAGCATTTATTGCCAATTTCTTACATGAAAGGTAAAAAATGTTTGTTTAATATCCCAAAGCGCGAAAAAGACACCAAATAAAATGAATGTCGAAGTTTTTCCTTTTTTCTACTTGTGCCGAAGTAGAAATTTCTTGGTTCTTGGCGTTTTTGATAACATTCGAAGACACTTAAATCTGCCCTAAGTAGAACAATAGTTCAGAAGTTCACAGTATGCGAGAAAGTAAAAAAATGATCTAATACCTAGTTAACCAATTCAAAATATTTTCAATTTTTTTGCTATACCTCCTTTCTTATATATCTGTTAATACTTTTAACCAATTATACATATATTGTATTAATACATTTTAATGTAAGTGATTTTGAATCATTACTTGAAAAAACACATGACTTGAAAAGCGCATTCTCTTAATTGTATCATTGAAAAAAGGCCACATTCCTCATTTTAGCAAATGTTAGGTATTGTTTGTGTCTATATTTAACTGATTTTATTGTATACGGTTTTATAGACAATATGCCGGGAATTAGACATGCAGCACTTGGTGATTTCTACGCAGGAATTCAAATTTAAAAATAGCTCCACCAAAACCAAGACATGGGTTAAGGAAAAAATAAAAATAAAAAACATGGCGCACTTCAAAGCGCGACCAACCGTTTGGAGTGTAATCTACACCGTATCGCCCCCTTACGACTACCCAGCAACTTCCCCACCTCTCACCACGTCCACCCAACGCCCCACTCACCTCGCAAGGCAACTCGCGTCGAGCAAGTGACGCAATTATTTTTATCTCTTGCCCGAGCCCTCGCTCGCGCGCGCGCGCGTTTCCTGTACAGCAGCGTCCTCCGCTAGGGGGAGATATGCGGCAAAGAGAGTACAGACGAAGAGGGACGCTCACGCTCGATTCGCGTAAGGGAAATTGGCCGCTCGACCGCACTCAAGATGGCGCCGCGTCGTGAGGGAGAAAGAGAAGAGAACGCTGAATTTATCTAGGGCGTCCCTCCCACGCGCCGGCCGGGTGCGACGCGCGGAAAATAAAGGTGGATTTTTATCGCGCGACGTATTGCGTGTTGAACAAGAGACGCCGCCAGATAGCGCGCCCGGCGCCGCGGGGCCCCATCGCGATGCCCTGCGGCACACCCGGGTCGCCGGCGCCGCCGGCGAGGAAGGAATATGGACTTCCCGAAGAGCTGGGGCAAGAGCGTCGTTAGATAGGGCTCGCAGAAAACTCTCTATAACGCGTCTCTCGTCGCCCGTGGAGTTTGGAAAACAAGGCAGTCCTCATTTTATTTAGGTGACCATTTTGTTTTACCTCTCACAAAAAATTATAAAGATAACTTCTGGACTTTAATTTTGTGTTTTTTGGTTTTGTTTTTTGTTTTTTAGGGTTCAGATTAATCTTCAGAGTAGCGAAGGTCATTTTGGTTGTTGAATAAATGTATTTAGTCGTCATCCCTTTCTGAAACTATTTTAATGGAAAATACAATTATCCTCTTAAGTGTGTCTTTGTTAATGTTACATCTAAAGTAATATATTCCTATAAATGTTATCTGTTTGGATATTTTATTGTAACTAAGCTATTAACTCTTCATTTCACTTTAATAAGCTTACGAAGCTTTTTTCCATTTTCTAAAAATAACTCCGACCACACAACGCTTTCTTCAAAATTTATTATTATTATTATTATTATTATTATTATTATTATTATTATTATTATTATTATTATTAATATTAATATTATTATTATTACATTATTATTAATTGAAAGAGAAATAAGTTATCAGAAATGCAACCGAAAAAAGTTTCTATTTCTTTTAATGTTTCATTTTGGGAGTTAACCATACGAAAACCACTGAAACTAGTTTATGTTAGCTAGATAAACCATATTCAAGCTTTATGTGAAATGCACTTCCAAAACCCTCCAAATAACGCGAGATAACATGCAGCAGAGAAGATGGGCCACAACAAGAGAAAACCTTCCTCTTTGAAATCTTTTTGTTAAACTTGCGCGGCCCATCTGTTCAAATTTTATTTTTTCTTTAAATTTTACTAGCACGGTGCACCTGTTTCCGCTTTTTGTTTTGTTTTTCTTAAATTTGCAGAGTTATAGAAACCGATATGTGGTAGTTAGTTCTTCTCCAGAGGCGTGGCTCACCTGAGAGGTGTCGGCTGTCGCAGAGCACGCGCATCCGGGGCCGGCTGGTGGGCGCGAGTGGGCGGGCAGCGACCTGCAACAACACAGGGCTCTTTGAGGTCTCCTAAGATTACATAAATGCAACGAGTAATAGTATACAGCGTACAACAGAACATGCGTTTCGCGTTCAGTTAAATATTTAGTAGCAGACCACATCTCTTGGTACACGACCTGAAAATTCAATAATTCTGCAACAAACACCATTAGAGATATTCTTTAATGTTCTCCAAAATGAACTTCATTAACCGAAGGTGACATTTAGAACTCTGCACAATATCATGGCAAATCATTAGAAGTAACGTTCTTCCGTTAGGTATGCGCAAAGTATTTCACTTCAACGAGGTGTCTCGTAGTATCGTATTTGAAACGCCACAACATCGTAGGAGCATTTTCAGTACTCACTGTACCTAATGTTATATAAAACTATGTCATCATCACAATAAAGTCTTACTTACTGCAAGATATTCGTTCTCAATTCACCTTAAAAATGTCAACTAAAAACTACCATTTTATAGTTGTCGTAATATTTTTTTCTGAAAATTAAACAGGTATTAACCATTCATAATAAGTTGTTCTAATAATCAAGAACTTGAGAATGTGTCGGTGCAATTGAGCTCCCTGCAAAAATTCAAGCGATTTTAACTTGAAAAAAATCGATGCAGAGAATTGCACAAAATTCGTACATTTGATATATACATATCATCTACACAGCCAGCATCTACCAGGGACCTACCAACCGATTTCTGGGATGAATTCGAGCAGCGTGGGCAGCGAGTGCTGGTGGTGGTGGTGGGAGAGGGGAAGCATTCGCCCGCCGTCCGTCGGGCCAGCGGCGGCGATGCTTTTTGGCAATTCGGCAGAGAGCTGGTGACCGGGCGCGCTACCTGGCAGGTGGTGCCCGGGCGGCGGGCAGCGCACTGTGGGACAGGGGTTGAACAATTCGGGCACCATACTAATGCATTGTGGGACGAGACAGGAGCTAAAATATCTGGACAACATGCGAATGCATGATTTGAAACGACTCTAGCAATCGGGAGAGCTTGATGTTGTTGCCAAGGAATATAGAGGCAAAAGTTGGAAAAAAACTTATTTAATATTACGTACTAAAGGAAATTTAAAAAAAAATACAAAATAGATATTAAAAGAATATCCATTTCTATCATTTCTAAAAGATGAGAAATTCTGACAATAAACTTTTACCCAATATATTTTGCTTTTTAATTCATGAAGCTTGAAAAATTACATACCGCCAAAAATTCAGTCGACTGCAGATCAAAACCTACGTTCTTTACCTAAGTTGCGCTACATACACTTCTTAAATCAGGTGGTACTCTTTACCAAACAAATCATTACAGAGTTTTGATATCTTATCCCATTTTCAGTTTTCAGCGAGATCATTTTCAATATTGCCTTGTTGATTTTGTAAGCATTTTGCTCATAAATTGTCCATATAAATAATCATTAATACTTATCTCTAAAAGTAAAAACATTTCACAAAATAGAAATTTGTGAGAGGTTCCATAACATTAAGTATGTGCTTTGGATTCTCTGCACTGCCTAGTTCTCCTCGGAGGGAAAATCTCACTAAAATAAAATTTAAACATAGATAAAAACAGTAGATGTTTATTACTTTAAAACATGATCCTTTAGACCCAGTCTATATTAATACTAAACACCGAGTATCAAAATCAAAATAGCACTCGGTGGCTCGTTGGTTAGCGTGGTCGCTTTCCATAGCGTAACTCCGGGCTCGATTCCTGGTCGGAGAAAAAATTAATTGCGCGATTTTCTTGCAATTTCCCAGAATCTGTTGGTGTGTGACGACGAGGAAACTCACTTCTCAGGTTGAGAATACCAGAAATGCAGTGTAGGGACGGCAATGTACTAACAACACATACCTCTTAACACATGGTCGCAAGGCCGGGACGATGCTGGTAAGCCTTAACTCATAAATAGCTGTTGTTCCAAAGTACATACATACAGCAAAATAAAAACTGAATACTTCGCTGTCAGTGAGCCGCTTTGCAGTCGATTGTGGTCTTCTTCAGAGCTATACTGCGGTATAGCAGTAAACTCTGAAGAAGGCTACAACAAGATGGCCGAAACGTCAGCTTAATCGACTGAGACGCGGCTCAACCCGGACAGTGAAGTATCCAATGACTCCGGTCGCGAGATCCAACGAATTGAATTAAATTTGCCTTATTTTTTACGTGGCGAGACTCAGGCCATCAGGCCCGCTCTTCCGTCTGACCACGCAAATTTCGGTACGCTTCTTTCATCAACTAGCAGAGAAAGGAGGTATTTCTTGGGCGAGAAACAGGCGAGTTGAATTTAGCTCAGAGGCGTCATTTAGGCTTGAGGATCTTTTACATGCAAGTAAATCTACTAACATGGGACAGCCGGCTTTACTTCCCCTCCGTACGAAGGATTTTCTCGCCCTTAAAAATCCACGGCTTTGAGCGATCGGATTTGAACCCGCGAACTTGGGTACAACAGTCCGGTACGCTACCGTTACACCATCGCCGCCGCATTACACCATCGCCGCCGCGAAAACAAAGTAAAAAAAAATCATATGCGACTTTCTTCCATATTGCGTTCGGCCCACAGTGCGACGTCGAGTGGGCGGGGCTCAATCGATGGCGCAGTCGGAGCGGGATTTTAATTTATGAAACTCGCCAGCAGGCCGCGCAGGCCTCGCACGTCGCGCGGGGCTTCCAGATGGGCTCGCTCAGCGGCGGAGAAGGCACGGAGAGAGGCGGAAAGGACGAGGACGAACGGTCGGACGACGGGGGAGGTGGACAAGAGCGAAAAGAGACCCACCGACTGACCGAAATTAAAGATGTTTTACGTCGAACGCGATCGGATAGAACCCCTGTATTGCTGACTAGTTTCATCTCTTTTTTTGGACCCTAAGAATTCAATGCAATAGCTTCATAGACCAGTAATCGCATCATTTCTGTAATAAGATCAAAATAACAATACCAGTGTGGCAGCGGCGGGAGTATGATAATGAAAATAAAAGTCTTGAAGAATAGTGTTGTAAAAAGGCTTGGTTTATGCAGAGACTTGATGTTCAAATGGAAAACGTAAAAAGCAATTAAAAGTTTTAATAGTAGAAAATGATGAGAGGAGAAGAATTCCATGAAGTGGGGAAAAGTAATCAGTGATTGCGAGGTAAAATAATAATATTTGAGGTACAAAATTAGTCATAAATGACGATTAAAACCAGATTCGCAGCTGAATGTTGCTGATGAATAATATATTAGAGAAATATACTTTGCCAGATTTTAGTCATACGTTGCCGAGAGAGTCCACAAAACACTTCACAAGAAATAATACCGAGAAAATGTAGTATGAAAGCAATAAACGTTTAATCCTGACTGAACATATATGAATGTTAGAGGGAAGCGTAATATTTTCCGGGAAGTCTTTAAATACACTTTTGAGATAACGGTAAAATTGAGTGGGAAATGAAAGACAACTGTATCGTGAGGATAGGAAAAGAAAGAGCCGGATGTATAAACAATGAGATGGGATACTAAAGCCTGTTGCCTACACACAGAGGGAAGGGAGGTGGGAGACAGGAGGGTGGAATCCATTCTATTTTTCATTAATTACCCACCTCTCCATGCACTGGAGTGCGGGTGAGCATTACAGCCTGATGACCAGCTGGAACCCGGAATACCACTTTGCCCTGGATTTCGTACCCGAAACGCTTTATCGCAGAATTAATAAGACAAATCCAAATAAAGATTAAAAATAATAATTAAAAATGTTTTTTGGAAATCATGCATCTAAAAATATTCTTTTCGACGACCTTTGGGATAGTGACCCTTATGTCATATATACCAAAAAATAAATTCATAAAAATATATTTTTATTTCTGTAAAACATGTCTCAAAATCAGAGTTCTCTTTTAAGTTTCAATATAGTTGTTTTTACCTTTCACATTTTTTTCGAAGATGTTGACCTCCATTTTATTTATGAGGTTATGTGCCAACCAACAGCGACTGAATAGTTCCCTTTCACATGAATTAATAATAATTAAATTCATTGATATTTGTACATATTACATCACTTTCAGCGAAAAAATATCGTATTATGAACATATTTAAATGAAGGATAGCTGTGCACTGCAGCTGGTACAAACTTTGTGGACTTTTAAACTAAGAGTGACTGGAAGTAAATATTTTTACCCGAAGGAACTAAACGTTTGTAACGTGTGTTAATTATATATTTATATACTATTTACTGCACTGGAGACTGATTCTGAAATATATTGTGAATAAAATGACATTGAAAATTCAGAAATATCCATCCACTAGGTAAATGATTTTCTCTAAAATTTCTCAGAAATTTATTATCTCATTACTTAATTATTACATATTTTTAGTGTGCAACAACATAATAATACTATTAGAATCTAAGTAACAAATCTTATGAAATGAATATGTAATACTTACCGCCCCCTATATGTTTTCCTCTCTTGAAATATAGAATAATTCAATGACGCTTGTTCTCTACCCTTTATTCTCCACTCGTCCATCACATGTGACAATGTAATCTCACTTTTTCACGTCTACCATTGATTCATTTCTTCAAAATCTTCGACAACCTCACTGCCAGATTCAATTCGCGTCACCAACCACTTCATCTGTACAACTTCCTGTTCACCCAACTTATCCCAGTTATACCTTTCCTTCTTTATGCACCTTTCTTCTTTTCCCCCTTCCTTCCTCCTCCTCCTTCTCCATCCCCTAACCACAACCTGGTTTCTCTGACGCAACGGCGCACGCGACACGAAAAGCTACTAAAAAGTTGGCGGATCTTGAAAAATTCACAAATTGACCTTTCGCCTTCCTTTGTCAAAGTGGCAACTTTCGCTCCCACTTGTTCTTTTTGCGCCCCTTGCGCCACCGCGGGAAAAATGTGTTACTGCGTAAGTTTGCAATAACTTCGCCGGAGCGTTGCGGCAGCGACTCTCTACGCCGGAGAGACGCAGGAGCGGATGGTATTATCGAAACGACGCAAAACACAAAGTGGATTATAGAAAGAAAAAAAATTGTCGTAGATTAGCGTAGGTTCACATACACAAGGACTATGAAGTAGAAGAAAGTTTGATTAACATGAATAGCGCAGTGAAAAAAATAATAGAAAGAAAAGTGATGTATTTATTAGATTTGTAATATATTTAAAATGAAAGAGATAAAAACTGCGCGAGTGGAAAAGTGCAAGAAAGAAAGGTATTTCCAGTTCAAGAATAAAGTAAAAGGACATTTTGCTATTTTGCAAGGGACTGAGAGAAACAAGAAAACATTAAAATTGAGAAAATAAGGCTCAGAATATTGAAAGTTATATAGTACGTGTTAAACTTTTTGTTTTAAAATAAATATTGGATCAACGCATGTTTGGAGTTGTGAAAAAGATTTCGTTTTATTATCTCACGCTTTCTCAACAACTGAGAAAAGAATAGAAAGCAAACCAAAAGAACACATTGTATGTCGTATTAAAAATTAATTTAAAAAAATCATAATAGTTTTCATGTGTCTGAACTCTGATGTATGATTGCATTAAGTAAGAAGTTAAATGTACATCTATAAAACATTCTTACCTTACAGGAAAGATGGATCAACAGGACCCCAGGCGCATACCAATACAAATTTTACTATTTAATAGTTTGAAAAGTAAGGCAGTATATATCACTGTGTTTTGAAGTATCAAGGAATACATACTATTCATTGGATTACACAGAACCATAACAAGGGATCCCGCATGCCACCGATCTGCGACCACAGCGGCACTGATATCTCCGAGCGCGGACCCGGCAGAGACGCGTTGCAACCAGAGCGAAGGGGAGGGGAGTGGCGGAGGAGGGCGGGGCGGAGGAGGGAGGGGCGGAGGAGGGAGTGGGGGGAATCGGGGTGGAGGCGGTTAAGCGGCGAGCGTAGGCGGTTACGCGCCCGGCGAGCACGAATCTCGGGCTATGGAAGAAATATCGGGCAAACGCCTCTCGAGGCGGCGTCGGGGGATCGGCGCGCGCCGCCGAATCTCGCGCCCGGGAATGCGGGAGCGTGAGCGCGCATAATGCGTGCGGCGTGGGGGGGGGGGACGCGGAAGAAGAGGCTGCTGGGACGGAGGCGGAGGTGGAGGTGGAGACGGAAAGCGAGGTGGGGACGGAGTCGGAGGCGGACGAGATGCTGGACGGGGTGGCGGAGAAGCAGGTGTAGAGAGGGAAGCAGAGGCGGAAGTGGAGGAGAGAGACGAGTCAGTAACGGAGATAGTATAAGTGGGGGTGGAGACGGAACGGGAAGCGGAGGAGGGAGAGGTTGAGACAGAGGTGAAGATGGAGATGAAGGTCGAGGCGGAGGTGGAGGTGGAAGTGGAGGTAGAGGTGGAGGTGGAGGTGATAGTATAAGCGGACGTGGAGACGGAGGGGAAGGCGGAAGAAGTGAAGGTGGAGGTACAGATAGAGGCAAAGTTGGAGGCGGAGGTGGAATTGGGGGCGAAGGCGAAGGCGGAGGCAAAGGCTGAGGCTGAGGAGGAGGCGGGGTGGGGCTGGAGGCAGCTATCCAGTATGTGCAGAGAGGCAAAGGCGGCAGCGGACGCTGGAGAGCAAAGCTGTCAAGGAAAGTCTACCAAAGCGCGGAGTGAAGGTGGGAGTAGGGATGGAGGAGGGGAAAAGCGGATAAGGAGACTGCAGTGGGGAGGAGGTAGAAACGGACGAAGGTCGGGAGATGGCAGAAGAGAGCATGGCGCGTGGGATGTTGCGAGAACGGGCGACGCAAAGAAACGGGACTGAGGCAGCGTGGGTGAGAGCAGGTGGTTTTGGGAACAGAGATATTGGATGTTGTGAGATTGAACTGAGGATGGACCAGGTGGCTGCGGGGATTTTTTGATGTGAGCGCACACAAGGGGTGAATGTAGAGAGGCTGAAATAGCGGTGAAAGGCCATGTAAGAGACGGAGTAGAAGCGGGACAAAGGTAGAGTCAGGGACATGCCTACGTGGGATATAAACGATACTAATTTGGAACATACACACTGAGGAGTCTAGTGAAACGGGAGGTAGAGGCAATGTCGAGACATAGGGGATGTAGAGGAGGCCTCGGGCTCATGACGTCATCACTGGTCCAGAAGTAGCGTAGTACTCCTACTGTGACGCGAGGCAAGCAAACGGGTATACATGAAAACAGGCAAGAGAACGCACTGTAAAAAAGTGGAAATGGACACCTGATGAGGCAGTGACGAGCCACGGGAGCTGAGACATTCTGCGGAGGAGCGCTGAGTTGGGCAGACGGGGCGGGCACTGACCAAGGCGATGCAGTTCGAACCAGAGGTAGAAACGGAGGGCGAGCGGCCTGGCGAGGGCAGGGCTGGAGGTGAGCTCGGGGCAGGGCGGTGAGGCGTTCGGGAAGCCGTCAGATTCTACGACGTCTAACAGCCAGCGGGGCCGCCCGGTTCGGCACGATCCCACGCGCAGGACAAAATGGAAGAGATCGTTCCGGCGCACACTTCCCTTCACACGCGAAATTTCCAACGGCCCCCTTTGTGTCGTCCACGTCGTTTACCCCGCTTTGCTCTGGAAACGCACGCACGAGCCCTTTGTGATACGGGGACTTCGGAAAGTTTCTGAACGTGCTAAGACGCCGGGGAAAGGTTACCGGTATCTATCTGAAACGAGGTGATTACTTTTTGAATGGAATGGCAGAGTTAGGGCAGCAACGGGCACTTTTCTCTTCAGAATATAGTATTCATTTAACAAATATTCCTTATAATAAACTAAAACTTCAGGCAAAAATATAACGAAAAAGCACCTTCTATTTCAACATAGTAATCAAGGTTTCAGCACAAAAAAAGCTTCAGTATTCGCTTACTATAAACATATCATACAGTGAATTGACATACCTAATTGCACTATCATAAAAATACTATAGCTATGAAAACAATTTTAGTAAAAAGTTCGCAAATAAAACGCTTCCTTATAACACCATGATTATCACACCAGATAAGTTCAGGCACAAAAACAATGTAATTTCTTCATTATTCTAGTTGTATATTATTTAGCAATGCATCCCTCTATTGAAGGAGTGAATATAAAATATTACCACTTCAATCACAGCCAATATTAATATGTTCAATTATGAATTCCTCATTGCAAACTATGGCCAATATTGTTATTCAAATCCTATTGTTTCTTCATAAAGTGTAATGTAACAAAACGTTTGAATCCAAACGCCTGTACTTCTTAAATTAATTTAGTTTGCAATTCACCAAAAATAACACAGAAATTAAAAGATAAAATGGTAATCCTATTCTCAAAATGAAAGCTTCATCCTTTTAGTGAATCTAGAAATGAATGCGCTCTAAAGATAGTTTCATGTAACACCTCCAACTCATCACAAACAAACAAGAAAAACAGGAGTGTCTTAGCGAGAATCACATTCTTCACCATCAAAAGCGCATAAAAAACAGCGAGAAAGAATTATGACACTAGTCTTTTACTAGTGACATGAATATGAAACCGCGCAGGCGAAATAACACCTCGGCCGAACTCCCGGGCGGAGATGAATCCCACAAGAGTAATTACCGACCTTAACTCGCGAGGTCGCGGGCAAAATATGGCACGCGGCAGATCACCGCGGGTGGGCGTGGCGCGGTGGAGTGGGGCGGGTCAATGCGAGGTGAGGAGGAGTGGCGTGGGGTGGCGGGGAGTGCGGTGAAGAGAGCGGGTCGCTGTTGGACAGAGATGCACCGTAGGGCGTACACAGAACACGGTTACCGCGAGACGGGCAGGGAAATCACGAAGTGAGACGGGGCGACGATTGGCGAGGTGGGATGGAGCGAAGCTGGAACAAAGCGGGGCGGTGTGCAGAAGGACGACGCGCGGCGGAGCGTGGCGGTGTGGCGCCCAGCAGACTGTGGTGAGGCGGGACGGAATGGGGAAGGATCGTGACGGGACAGGAATGTGGGGACAGGAGATATGGGAAAGGCGAGGCGGAGAGGAAAAGAGGAGAGGCGAGGCGGAGTGGAAAAGAGGGGGGAGAGAGAATGTTCATGCCAGGCGGAGCGTGGTGGTATAGGGTTGAGCAGATCGTGCAAGGAAAGACGAGAAGAGGCGGGCAAGCGAGGTTAGGCGGGGGAGGGTAATAGATGGGTTAGAGCCGCGGACGAGACTGGTGATGCCAGGGCGGGAATGCGGGCGAATTGAGACCGAAGCGGGGCGGGAGGTGTAAAATGACGACGCGAGGTGTTTATCGTGTGGCGTAGCCCGTTGCGGAGCGGCGCGTGATAGTTTGAAGACGTGGCGGCGGGTGAGAAGGGGCGAGCGGTGGCGGAGTTTGGAAGGACGGGGCTGGGTGGGAGGAGCAGGGTGGAGAACACCGTGGCAAGCGGGAATGAGGGGCGGGAGAAAGCGGCTAGCGAGATGGGAAAGTATAAAGTCGATATCAAGGCAGGGTGGCAGCGGGCTATAGAAGCGGATGCGGGTAGTGAGTCTGTAGAAGTGAGAACGCCGTTACATCGAGGAGAGGGAGGCGGGGCCACACAAGGGCGGAGCAGAACCGCAACGGCCGGGGCGGATCAGTGACGGGGTCGGGGGGCGGCGGAGCGTGCGTGTGTGGCGTGGCGAGGAGGAGCGGAGCAAGGAGCGCTATGCGAGTGGTAGAAAAACACGGCCGTAAATGATAAAACGCGTCGGCCATTCATCCTGGGTTACGTGTCGAGTCGCGGGGGCGGGCAGTCGGGCCGGCGGCTTTCTTAAAAGATGGAAGCGTTGGATGTCCGGAAGTCGTACATCACACACCGCCGCGACGGGGCGACGGCGGGGACGGTGATATCAAGAGGTGGAAATGGAAGTGCGGATGGAGGAGGTGGCGATAGTGGGACCTTAATGATGGCGATGTTCTTTGTTTCATTACTGTGGGCGTCGGTGACGGAGGAACTGGAGGGGAAGGGGAGTGTGGTTATGATGGCGAAGGCGATGATGATGGTGATGATGGTGATTATGGTGATAGCGATAATAGTGAGATGGTGGTGATGGAGGAGATGAGTAAAATTTTGAGGAAGTTGTGTAGTAATGGAACGGGATGATATCGATGGAAACGATGGTGGGGTCGATGAAGTCGAATCAAGAGGCGATCGATGGAGGAACAGTAACGGCGAGGGCTACGATTATGATGGATCGCAGAATGGTCAAAAACTGGGCCAATTACAAAACAGCACTAATAGCCGAGAATGGGAAGGAGGCAGAAACAGAACCTAGATGGAAACGGTATCATCACTACAAATTGATTTTAAGATGTGTTCATTTGTGATGGATATGTTAACTGAGGAAACACTGAACACCAACTAATGAGGTATCCCAATCCGAAAAAAATAATGCAAAATGAAAGAAAAACTTAAGATTTCAAGACAGAAATAGCTAATCAGACCAAACCTGAAGTAAAATATTTAATTTTAAAACATCATTATGAACAAACTGTAAGAACAAGTTTCAAAAAAATACGAATGGATGTATTCAAGGAGAATGAAAACAGTAAATCTGATAAAACGAAAAAATACAGGAAATAAGTAGTAGAAGACATACATTCACCGTTATCCAAAAAGAAAAATGAAATAATCGTGTTTAAAAAGTATCAAGTTAGAAATTTAAAAAATTATCATAAGAAATATAATTGAAAAATTATTTGGTATTAAGTTAAGAGTTGCAACCTCTCTGAAGCGCAGGTCGCCCCCGTCCAAAGAAACTTCACGAGGAGGGCGGGAGGGCCGGGGAATCCCCTCGGAAGCGATACGGACGCGCGCCGCCGGCAGATAAAGCGGAGTGAATCATGATGCCCACCCGCGACCCTGTTTTTTAAGGAATCGGGCCGTATTACATCAGAGATTCATAATCCGCCGGCCCGAAATACCCGCCCGCCGGCCGCCATGTTAAATTCATGAGGCTGCGAATTAATGCTCTGCGCCCGCAAAACGCGGTCGCCATGCTGCCCACCCGCCCGACCGCCCGCCCGACCAACCGACCGGTCGCACGTTGCACGTTGTGACCAAAGGACGAAATCGTGGTCAAAACGTGAATGGATTTCTAAACGTACGATTTAATACAGTGGCGCATGTTGAACACAACACCCAGGCTAAATCGCTTTAAAAATTCTTATTTTAATTTTGACCTGGGACTCAAATAGTTAAGTAGACTTTTGAAGTGTTCACTATTTCATTGACGAAATGTCTGAAATTCTCTGACGAAATACCACGAATAACTGTGAAATGTGGAGAAGTGGGAAGTGGTCGTAATGGGTGAACCTGATAAAATGTCAATTTATTTCGTAAGACTTTTATAATCTGATAAACGTTTTTGCTATTGCTTAAAAATATGATATTTATTTCTCTTCTTTATTCTTATAGATTCTATTGTTTTGTTTGATACAAATCTAAAGTTTAAAAACATAAATAATTACTAACATTTTTTTACTAAAACGCAAAATATGCGAAAATAAATATTACATAATACGCATTGTGAAAAACTTAATACTTCCTCAGATGTGTAGAACTGGCGAACTCTTAATCCGACCCAGTTTTAAATAAGAGCCCAGATATTCAGAATTAAGGGTTAAACTGTCTTTAAAAAGACAAAAACAACATGGTGAATCCAACATGCTGACAGTCACTGTGAAAATATTTATAAAGAGAAATTGTGGGTGTATATTGCCGCGATTAGTTTTGCCCACATCATTGTAGACTATAAATTAAACGTAGTTGCCATGGTAGAAACCTTAGTGCAGAGTTCACTTCAACGATTTTACTAATGCACAGTATGCTATAAAATAATAAATGTTCTTAATAATTAATCATTTAAATCCAACCCGCAACTAAGCAATTCTAAACTTATTTTACTTAAGTACCACGAACTCAATATATGTGAGGGAATGCAACACATGACGGGAGTAAACTTAGGACTTGATCGAACATAGTGGTGCCCCGCTGGGAAGATACCTGGAGAGGGAAACTCCGCGAACCGACAAGTAGCACGTTGGCAGATCTCACATTCCACCCTCAGGATATAATTCGTACTATACACGAGGGCCTAATTATCAGAGTAGTGTATGCTCCGAGAAATACTAAACACTCACTCACTCACTTTAAATGTGAAATACTAAGATTGCTACCAACGCCAAAGGGCGAAACTCCCCAAAGAAAAAAATATTTATCCCTTAGTGTCTGACAGGCATAGGTAGCTTATGGTATCTATGTACTGATGTCATTGCAGTG